CACACACACACACACACACACACACACACACACACACACACACACACTTCTGCAGCTGGATCTTATAGTTACCAGTCCTTAGTGTTGCTCGGTCACTTCCAGTGGCCAGCTGAAACTGCACACGAGGGAGGGGGAGCTGGGTCTCTGTCGAAGGTGTTCGAAGCTCCGATGATGATGCAGAATGAACCCAAAGTCCCATGGCAATACACCCTTCTTTTATAGTAATAAGTTCCCATACAAGTCTACGGACCTTGCTGTGTCACACCGGAGCTGTCAATCACGAGGTATTCAAGGTTGCTCTTAATTAACATTATTTTGAGTTGTTACCGGGAGGATCCGCAGCTATTTCGTATCTCATTCCTCAGGCTCAACTCCTTATCTTGTCCTTGGTGTGTATGCCTTTGCTTCAGGGTTGTCAATCTGCCATCCAGGTGATTCTGATAATAAAGTTGGTGCCTCGCGACTCCTCCACTCCCCTCTTGACCATCCGGCCCAGCTGTCTCGTCTCAGTTAATTAGTATAACACACATTCTTCACTCGCACACCAAACAGTAAATAAGGCAATAATTACAGGTATAAAATTTCTGTCCTTCTAAGAACAATCATTAATACAATCAGCAAAGAATAAACTTAAAATAATTTCTTCTTACTAATTCAAAACTAGCAAAATGGAGTATAAAGCAAAATAAGCAGAACGGAGTACAATTTACTTGAGACCATTTCTTTTGGCCTACATTGTATCTTGAGTACCTTTCAGTTTTGACTAGACCTGTTTGCCCCACTGCTCAGGGAGCTGGGGTTGCTGAGCAAGGTGAGTGATGACACACAGAAGTGGATCGTGTTTTCATTTGGATTTAATTTTGGATCCTCTAGTATTTTGTGGCTGAGGGAAGTTTTGCTGCTTTGGCTGAGGTGGTCGCAGGAGGTTAATAACCATCTCTGTATGTTGGTTAGTAGGGAGGTTAGATCAGTTCTTCTCTGCTGTTGCTGCCTGGAGTTCCCATGCCCAGGAGGATTTGTTTGCTGAGCCGCACATGTAAGGTTTCTACTGCAGTTTTATTTCAGTCACTGTAGTCAGGTATTAAAGTTGGGCCCCAGATTTCATTCCCAAATAGCAGAATGGGTTGGATTATACCATCAAACGTTACAGCAGTGATTTTATTGGTGTGTTGTATCTACCTAGCAGTTTCTTCATGTCATAGAAAACCTTTCTAGCCAATTAGAAGTTCCCTGATGCATTTATTACAAGCCTAAGATGTGTGACTTAGGGTGTGTTCAGTGGTCATGTTTCTGTAATAAAATATTACTTTGTTTTAGATGTTTTGGGACTGTATCTGAAATATCATGAACTGGTTTTTTTCCAATTTGACCTGTGGGGCCCATGTATTACAGTAGGTTTATGGGAGGTATACGTTTCTTAAGAGATCATCTGATATGACCAGGATTACAAGAGCGCTCCATGGCTGTATATCTGTAAGTAGTTACGGTGCCTGTAGATGGTGCTCAAGAATATGCAGCATTTGTTCCTGGAGCTTGTAGGACCAATAAGACTTCTTGCTATGCATTGCAAATGTCTTCTTGTGGGCAGCTCTTTACAGCAGCTTTTCACATGGTGTCAGAAGTAAAATATTTTCACGACTTTAATTCTTTGTTGGGGACTGATCTGAGGCAATGAGGTCCAGATCCTCAAAGGTATTTAAGTTTCTAAATTAGAAGCCTTAAATACTCATTACTTTTAAATGTTTGGGGTTAGCAATGTTGTATATGAGAGGTATATTTTATAGATTCCAAGGCCAGAAGGGACCATTGTGTCATCTAGTCTGGCCTCCTGTAAAACACAGGCCAGAGAACTGCCCCTAAATAATTCCTAGAACACATATTTTAGAAAATTATCCAATCTGGATTTAAAAATTGTCTGCGATTAAGGCTACGATTTTCTCAAGGAGGTCACAGAAGTCACGGAATCTGCGTGACTTCCAGAGACCTCTGTGACTTCAGTCTGTGGTGGCCGGGAGCTGCAGGATTCCCCCGCTGCCTGTGGTAACTGCTGGTAACTGCGGGGTACCCCTGCTGTCCCCGAGCTCCAAGCCACCATGGGCGGTGGGGGTACCCTGGAGCTCCTGGCTGCCAGGGGTGCCCCAGAGCTCTGAGCTGCTGTGGGCAGTGGGGGTGCCATGAGGTTCCCGGCCGCTGCGAGTGGTGGGGGTACCCTGGAACTCCCAGCTGCTGTGGGCGGCGGGGGCCCCCTGCACTTCCTGGCTGCTCTGAGCTGTGGGCGGCAGGGGACCCCAAAATCCACCAGCCACCAGGAGTGGGGGGACCCCACAGCTCTGAGCTGGGCCCCCCTGGGGGCGGTGTGGGGACCCCGCAATTGCCCATTTTGTCATTCATATTTTTAGTAAAAGTCAGGGCTTCCATGAATTTTTCTTCATTGCCCATGATCTGTTCATGACTTTTACTAAAAATACCCAAAGCTCTTAGCTTTATCTGTGATGGAGAATCCACCAGGAGCCTTGGTAAATTGTTGCAGTGATTGATTACTCTCACTGTTAAAAATATATACCTTATTTCCAGCATGAATTTGTCAAGCTTCAACTTATTACTTTCCTTTAACTGTTGGATCATATTATACTTTTCTTTGCTAAGTATAGAGCATATAAAGAGCCCATTATTAAATATTTCTTCCCCCATGTATGTACTTATAGACTATGATCAAGTAACCCCTTATTCTTCTCTTTGTTACTATAAATACATTGAGCTCTTTCAGTGCATAAGACATATTTTTTTAATCCTTTAATTATTCTTGTGACTCTTCTCTGAACCCTCTACAATTTATCAACATCCTTCTTGAACTATGAACACCAGAACTGGACACAGTATTCCAGCATCAGTTGTACCAGTGCCAAAAACAGAGGTAAAATAGCCTCTATTCTCCTACTCAAGATTCACCTGTTTATGCATCCCAGGATTGCAATAACCCTTTTGGCCACAGTGTCACACTGGGAGCTCATGTTCATCTGATTTTCCACCACAACCTTCAAATCTTGTTCAGAATCACTGCTTCCCATAAGTACGGCCTACATTCTTTGTTCCTAGATGGATACTGTGACTGGGGTCCTAGATGTGGTCACTCAATTAGGGCGGACTGCAAAGAATATCAGGGTTGGAAAGGACCTCAGGAGGTCATCTAGTCCAACCCACTGCTCAAAGCAGGACTAATCCCCAGACAGATTTTTGCTCCAGATCCCTAAATGGCCCCCTCAAGGATTGAACTCACAACTCTGGGTTAAGCAGGCCAATGCGCAAACCACTGAGCTATCCCTCTCCCCCAAAAGCTGGTGGATATTCCAATACTTAGATTTACCAAGCCAGCATAAAACAGCTTCTTTATTACCTTACTGGTTACTCAGAAGTCCAAACAACACTGCTCCCTTAAAGTGATCCAGCCTCAGGCCTCCAGCCAGGTACTCATGTCAAATATGATGATTTCTGAAAATCTT